CTCCTCATTTTCACTTCAAAGGGCACTGCAGTACATAAGGACACAAGAAGTACAAAGTGACACAAGAGATCATGATATAATAAGAACAACCAAGTCTTGCCCATTCCTTCCAAAAGGATTGAAGATGATAAGGAAATGAAGCCTTGAATAAAAATGGAAGGGATGTAAATATTAGTAATATATAAATATAACTTTTCTTTCTTCTGCTGCCAGAATGACAGATTGAAAGGGCCACACAAGACCATCGTGAGATGTGGAAGGAAAGCGACACTGAGCTACTCAGGCCTGGTTCTAGCCTAAACCTTAAGCTACAGAAGTGGGTAGAAAAGGATTCTTGTATTTATACACAGTCCATCCCACCTTTCCAGGCAGTGTGGACCAGAAATTTTGGCTAGCAATAAATAAATTATGGGAATGCAGCACATACATGCTATATAAAAATAACTGGTATTTTATTAAACACCATGTGTCAGGTAGTCTTGCAAAAACGTTACATGGATTAATTTCTTTACCCTCACAACAGCTCTATGAAGTACATGGCATTATTATCCCTATTTCACAGATATGGAAGCTGAGGCACAGAGAGGTTAAATAACTTGCCCAGAGTTGCACAGCTATAAAAGTCAGACTTGGGAACCAAGCAGAGGCAGTCCAACACCATCTTCTACATTCTTTACCATGAGAGCATTGTGTTTTTTCCTCAAAACCCCAAAATCTGGGTTCCAGAAAATTACATAAGAATTTGAAAATTCAATCCTACCAAGGCTCAATTATCATAAGTTTATAAGTATAAATTCCATCCAACACTATTACTTCTTTGAATGCCAAGTATCATATTACAAGTCTTATATGTTCACTAGGCAACAATTCCACCCTATCTCCCCAAAAGTAAATACTGACCAGTTAGAACTATTCTTTTCTCACAAGAGAGGCTACTGAGAGCTGTAGTTGTCTTAATGGCACTGTTCTTCAAACGATGCCCTTCATCACAGATTAGAAGATCAAATTTGATATTTTTAATTTGATCCAGGGAACGAAGTAACATTTCGTAACTGATGATAAGAACAGAATAAAATGGAGATTTGATGAATTCTTCTACTTTGTGATCCTAAAAAAAAAAGAAAAAGATAATATTTAATAAATCATGAAGAGAAACAGTGTGAAATGAAATTTAAGGAGCATATTTCTCACAGCCATTAAAATCAAGTATTGAAATACATTAACAGAAAACCAAATTATAAACCAAGAGTTCCATTTTTCTGCAAAGGAGTTAGTTGAAAACTGTTACATAGAGTGAAAACTGATTTGAAAAGCTGGAGATTTAGAAAATGACCAAGACTAAATTTTTAAAAATCTCTTACCTGATCAACAGTAAATACCTTGATCCTTTCACTTCCTAACCATTTTTGAAATTCTTTCCTCCAATTATTCACCAAGCTTCCAGGTGTGACAATAAGTGTCTTCTTTATTACTGGCTTGCCTCCATAGGGTCCCTGACACTGTAGAGTCCAGATGAGCGAAATACATTGCAATGTTTTCCCTAAACCCATTTCATCAGCAAGAATAGCTCCACATCTGTTATTCACTCTGTTAGAAATAATTATAGTTCTTTAATCACAAAGAAAATATTTTATGCCTCTAACATCATCGCTTATTAGTCAAGAACTAGATGCTGATATTTTATAATTAGGACAAACTCTACCCTCCACTAAACACTTTTTTTTCACCTGTTTTACAGTTTATCTCTTTTGCATCTTAGATCATTGTAATCATTACATATTTATTGTCAACTAAATTACTAAAACAAATCTGAAATTAGACAGATGAATCTAAATCTTCTGTTCCTATTGTAAGTATATAATGCATATGAATGAATCTCAATTTTATATCTACATTTGAATACTTTAACTCTGTGCTTTACTAACAGTTCNAGGAAAGTTGAAATACACTTGTGGCAAGAGGCCACTGACAGTCCAAGTTCTACCTCTTGAATAAAAAGTGGGATATTTTATAGTACCAAGCTTGTTTGAATTATTAATTCAACAGACATTTATTAAGTGTTGCCATGTGTAAGATGCTGGTGGAATATAAATATGTGTAAGTCAGTTTGCCCAAATGGGCTCAATTAACAAGATAGATAATGACGGAATTTCAGTCTCCTATGACTGTTTACACTAACTGCATAGTTATTGTGTGATTATAGGGGGCAAGAACTGTGTATACCATAAACTTTTAAGTCCCTAAAAAATAAAACACACATTTTAGAAAATATGACCTTTTTAAACTAGTTGGAAATTGCTACAATTTGTCCTATTTAAACTCAACTAGGGCTGGCCGGGTGGTTCAGTTGGTTAGAGCTTAAGCTCTGAGCAACAGGGTTGCCAGTTTGATTCCCACATGGGCCAATGAGCTGCACCCGAACTGAGCTGCCACTGAGCTGCTGCTGAGCTGCCAATGGGCGGCCAGATGCCTCAGTTGGTGAGAGTGCATGCTCTTAACAACAAGGTTGCTGGTTCAACTCCCGCATGGGATGGTGGGCTGCAACTCTCCGCAACTATTGGGTTGTTGGAAAAGTCATGACACACTTTTGCAACGAAAAACAGAAAAAATATGTCATGACTTTTCCAACAACCCAATAGATTAAAAGTGAAGACTGGACTTGGAGCTGAGCTTGTGCCCTCCACAATTAAGATTGAAAAACAACAATTTGACTTGGAGCTGATGGGTCCTGGAAAAACACAATGTTCCCCTTCCCCAATTCCCCAATAAAATCTTCAAAAAAAAAACTTGGCTAAAACTTATAATTTGTGCCAATTGGTAACTTATATTCTTAAATCATTTATGATACAGCACTGTTTAATTTTAATGCTCTGATGTTGAAAAAAATTACTTAACTGATGTTCCTAAATACCAAAGACTCATTGCTCTATTCCCCAAACTAAAATATTGAAGTTAACAGTAGTCTTGACCTCTCCACATTAATGAAGAGCATAGTTTTATCTTCATACACAGTAGTCCCCCTTTTCCATGAGGGATATGTTCCAACACTCCCAGCAGTTGCCTAAAACCATGGATAGTATTAAACCCTATATATGCTATGTCTTTTCCTATACATACATACATACATACATACATATATACATATGATAAAATTTAATTTATAAATTAGGCACAGTAAGAGATTAACAATAACTAATAATAAAATATAATTATAACAATATACTGTAATAAAAGTTATGGGAATGTGGTCTCTCTCTCAAAATATCTTATTGTACTGTACTCACCCTTCTCATGATGACATGAGATGATAAACTGCCTTACTAAGGTGAGATCTTTTATCTTTTCACTTAAAGGAATCACCCATACTGTTGTGCTTTGGGGCCATTGTTAAGTAAAACAAGGGTTACTTTGAAAACAAATACTCAACAATAGCTCCACAAGGACAGGGCTACTAAGTGACTCATGGGCAGGTAGCATATACACATGGATATGCTAGACCAGGGGTCGGCGAACTGCGGCTCATGAGCCACATGTGGCTCTTTGGGTATGTTCTGTCTCAAAAGTTTGCCGACCCCTGGAAGAGCCAATCCTGTCCCTCACAACAATTTAAAAATTATTCGAGAGCCATACATATATTTTTACATAATCACCATTAGGTGAATAATATCCCTTAAAAATTTTATAAATGAAACTATGATAGTTTTATTTTCATTTTCAATTTTGCTTCAGAGCCTGCGGCTCGCAAGCCAGTTTGCTGACCCCTGGAGGCTCTTCCATCTCAAAAGTTTGCTGACCCCTGTGCTAGACAAACAGATGATGCACATCGTGGATGAGATGGAGCAGGAAAGCACATGGTTTCATTATACTATTCAAAATAGTATACAATTTAAAACTTATGAATTGTTTACTTCTTGAATTTCCCATTTAATTTTCTTTTTATTGGGGAATAGTCAATGGATTAACAATGGAATACAATGTCAGTGGAATACGATGTCAGAGGGGTAGTAGATTGGAGGAGGGGGGTTATCACTTCGTGAGGGGTGTAAATGTCTAACTAGTACATTGTTTTGTACACCTGAAACTAATTTAAAAAAAAATCTTGAGCAATCAGGCACACATTTCCCTAAGGACCTGGACTTTGGGAGTAATTACAGTGTTTTCCTTCTCAATTTAAATAAATGCAGCAATTGGACCATCAAAAAAAAATAGCTCTTCTATGTATGATCCTACTGCACTTAGTAAAATTCTCATTGAAATAATTCTTATTGCTTCCTAATTATAAAGTACATTGGCCTGTCCCTGCTAAACTATAAATAATACCCATCTCTGAATGTTTACTAGTAGCATAGTGGTTGGCACATAAAATAGTTACTAAAAACTATAAACTGACATTTTTAAATGAATGAATAAACATTTAGAACAGATTTTATAATTATGGGTCACACTGATAATTGAACAGTACAAGAACATGGTTGGTGTTAGGCATTCAAAATCTGTGGGCTAACCTGTATTAGTACAAATCATGCTGGCAACATTTTATAACAGAAATAATGGTAACCTCCAATTTAAATTTATTAATCTAGGTCATGCCTAACCATTATCTCCTTGCTTTTTACAAAATTTTATTGGACACTATTGAAATCAGATACTATTGCACTCCTGACATCAACATCTTTTTAACTTTTAACCACTTAGCATTCTGCAAAGAAAAGGGGGGAAAAAGTGCACTAAGACAAACTGCTTAGTCACAGAAAACTGTCAAGCTGTATACACCTGGCTGACCACTTGATTTTTGGAGAAAATGAAACCATGAGCTAGGCTAGGCCGCACTGAGCTTGTATGCATGAGACTGTCAGGCTGACGACATATTATGAGATAATTCTATGTTTATGAAATAATTTAGACATAAAAGTCAATTAAAGAACATCTTAATCTATACCTTTATAAAACCTAATTATATTTCAATTATGGAACCAGAGCTATATACTAATTTTAGGCCAAATCATAAACATTAGGTAATATCACAATACCTCTTCCAATGTCTTTGCCTTCCAAGTCCTTTAATATAAATGACTTTCCTTTGACAATAAGAACAGCATCACCTTCCCACTTTTTGTGCTTTTTCTTTGAAGCCTTACGCCAAACAACACTGAAATATTTAACTAGACTATTAGGTTCTGCTTCTTGTCCCTTCGATACTTCTACTTCCTTAGGGGCTGAATTAGCTAGAATAAAAAAATTTTTTTTAAAAACACATTATTAAAGATCACTTTAATATTTAAAAGGTCATTCAAACAAAAGTAAACACAAGAAAATCAGACTGTATCAAGAAGTATAAAAGAATATTTGATCATCTCATGTTAGCATTTTATAAACTGATAAATTAAAATGTCAGGTGCTAGAATTATGAGTACAATGAATGTAAATTCCTTATCATCTCAAAGTCATGTAAACTCAGTTGAAGAATAATAATAATCACTGCAAATATTTTACAACTCTATGAATTAAAGATAATATTTAAACATCCAAGGGAAAAATACCTAAAATCACTGTTTTAAACTGATTTAATTAACAGCAATATAAGTCAAGGAAACCAAAAGATCACAGTTCTCTGAAAGAAAAACCTGTAGTTTTTTCAGATAAGATCAAAGTAGGAATAAAACTAAATTTCCTTAAAATACTTTTGTATCTGAGTTATGGAATAATCAGGCTTGACCACCGATCCTGAGAATTCAGTAGTAGATGATCAGGAAATAAAAAGATCCTTCTTTCAAAGGCTACTACTTTTCTCAAAAACATTTCCAGATTCACCTTATAAAAACATATCCAGGGCCAGCCAAGTGGCTCGATTGGTTAAGAGCTGGCTCAAGAGTGTGAGCTCTGAGCAACAGGGTTGCAGGTTTGATTCCCAGCCAGAGCTGAGCTGCCAACAGGTGGCAGGATGGCTCAGCTAAAAAAAAAAAAAAAAAAACATATCCAATGTTAACTAGACTTATTGTGGTAATCATTTTGCAATATATATGAAATGACATGTTCTGCACCTGAAACTAGTATAGTATTTACATNTGGAAGGAAATATACCAAGATGTTAGCAAGGACCTTTAATTCTTTTTTATTTCCTTTGTGGTTTTTTGGCGGGAGGTGGGGGACGGTCTTCTATAATATCTTTAAGAGAGGATACTACAATTCTTTAATCAGAAAACTCAATTTTAAAGGAGGGCTCCTTTTATTTTTATTTTAAGTAGAGGTGATATAAGGAGAAAACCTTTTTCTAAAATTCTTGTAAGGAGAATTAAGACTTCCATTTTTCCCCATACACCTTTATCATACTACTAGTGAGCTCTTCTTATACCACATTAAGGCTTGACTTTATTTATTGACTTTATTAAGGCTTGAAATTATTTGTTTCCTCAAATACTTTATAAGCTATTTAAGAATAAGAGGACCATGATTCTGAATCCTATATGCCCAGCTCCTAGCAGGATGGCTAGCACCATCAAGAACCACTTGGTATCCATCAAGAACCACTTGAGCACTTAATGCACACATTAAGTAAGATTTACTATTCCCACTAAAATTCATAATGTACCCTCTGAGACTTATTATATCAGACTCTTTCTAGAAAACTATAATGTTACAGGCTAAATCAAAACTCAGATTGGACTCAACAAATGATTTCTTTTCCTACCTCATTCCCATCACACATTCATAAAGAAATGTGATTCCTTCTCTCTGATGTGGTCGAAGATGATGCACAAGATGAGGATCTATGACTACATCCACAACAGGGAAAGAGTTCCTACTGACCATCCACTGAGGATTATTGTCCGGTCGCAGCATAACAAGAGAATCTTAAGAAAAAGATAAAACTATAATTACAAATGAATTGCAATTTCACATTGTCAGCAGCTTTAATTACTTGTAAGTTAAAACTCTTTGCCATCGTTAGTGGCCAAAAAAAAAAAAACCTTCAAATTTAGTAAACTAATGCTAAGCAGCAGCAGTACAAAAGTAAAAAGTAAAATCTTGTGCCTTATTGGTATAAGATTTCATGCAAAGAATTACAAAGTTTTCGGGCTGGCCGAGTGGCGCGGTGGTTAAGAGCTGGCTTGGGACGCCAGAGGGCCCCGGTTCNCAGCAGCCCTACCTAATATATAGAAACAAATGCAGGGAGGCAGCCAAAATGGGGAGACAAAGAAACATGTCCCAAATAAAAGAACAGAACAAAGCTTCAGAAAAAGAACTAAGCGAAATGGAGATAAGCAATCTATCAGACGCAGAGTTCCAAACACTGGTTATAAGAATGATCAATGATCTCAGGGAGAACTTCAACAGAGAGATAGAAAGCATAAAAATGGAGATGGAAACCATGAAAAAGAACCAGTCAGAAATAAAGGATACAATAATGGAAATGAAGAATATATTACAGGGAAGCAACAGTAGATTACACGAAGCAGAGGATCCAACCAACGATGCGGAAGATAAGGTAGCAGAAAACACCTAACCAGAACAGCAAAAAGAAAAAAGAATCCAAAAAATTGAGGAGAGTTTAAGAGGCCTCTGGGACAATATCAAGTGTATCAACATTCACATTATAGGGGTACCAGAAGGAGAAAAGAGAGAGCAAGGAATTGAAAACCTATTTGATGAAATAATGATAGAAAACTTCCTTAACCTGGTAAAGTAAACAGAAATACAAGCCCAGGTAGCACAGAGAGTCCCAAACAAGATAAACCCAAACAGGCCAACAGCAAGATACATCATAATTAAAATGCCAAATATTAAAGACAAAGAGAAAATCTTAAAAGCAGCAAGAAAAAAGAAGTTGTTACTTACAAGGGAGCCCCCATAAGACTGGCGGCTGATTTCTCAACAGAAACTTTGCAGGCAAGAAGGGCGAGGCAGGAAATATTCCAAGTCACAAAAAGTAACAACATACAACCAATATTGCTCTACCCAGCAAAGTTATCATTTAGAATTGAAGGACAGGTAAGGAGCTTCCCAAATAAGAAAAAGATGAAGGAGTTCATCATCACCAAGCCAGTATTACAAGGAATCTTAGAGGGACTTCTTTAAGGTGGAAAGGGGGTTAAGGATGGTTGGAAGGGGAAGAGATTNATTGTAATATTCAATATATACCAATAACAAAAGATGAATACATGTCACATTTGACTTCTGCAATTACAAGAAGTACTCAAAGTGGTTACATCAGCATAATTTTAATACAGCTTTTTTCTTTCTTAAAATGTGTATACAAATAAATAAATAAATAAATAATAAAATGTGTATGCATTTTTTTGGCACCCTCCGTATATGATATATATTTAAAAAGTTGCAGGGCTTAGGATAACCAAGGTGGCGCAGTAGATAAACGCTGTGCTTACCTTCTCACAACCACATCAAAATTACAACTAATCTACAAAACAACCATTATCGAGAATCGCCTAAAATCAAGCTGAACTGAAGCCTTTCAACTGGGGACATGCAGAAGAAGCCACCTCCAGACTGGGAGAAGGGGCAGAGACGCAGAACAGGCTGGTCCCACACCTGTGTATGACCATAAAGATCAGGAGGGATATTTTGGCAGTGGAGGTCCCCCCCACCCTCCAGAGGAGTGAGAGGTCCCAGCCCCACCCCAGTCTAGGGTGCCAATGCCAGGGAGAGAAGTCCCCATAATTTCTGGCTGTGAAAACCAGCTGAGATTGTGACTGAGAGAGACTGAGCGTGGCTGCACTCACAGGCGTTCCTCTTAAGGGAACTGCGCACGGACTTACCCACCAATGGAATTGTTGTGGGCCAACCAAGTAGCCCACCACAACTGAAAGACTTTTAAGTTTTCTTTCCTATAGAAATGTTAAGTATAGAAATGTTAAGTCTCCTCCCTAGTTCCTTAGTTTCTTAGCTCCTGGCTTTGATTAATCTTCTAATCAGTTTGTGAATCCTAGACTAAAGATTGCTCCTAGCCTGAATCATACGCGTCTCCTATCCCTGTTTCTTGATTGTCTGTAAATCAGTTTCTTAATCCTAAACAATATATTGTTCATAGAAACCTCCTACCTCTGCTTCAGATAACTACTTAAAAGACTGTGACTTCCCAATATCCCCCAGGCCAGTAAGCCTAATGATTCTTTCCAAACCCATTCTGGGCCCAGACAATTGTCGCCACCTGAGTGACGGCTGAATGGCCATGGGTTTCATAGGAGCTAACAGGTTTATTAATTAAGATCTATTTTTTCCTCATTCAGAGGCCTTGGGGATACAGATGGTACCCTAGCAAGACTGCCAGTCACAACCAAAGAAGCCANAAGAGCTGGCTCAAGAGTGTGAGCTCTGAGCAACAGGGTTGCAGGTTTGATTCCCAGCCAGAGCTGAGCTGCCAACAGGTGGCAGGATGGCTCAGTAAAAAAAAAAAAAAAACACATATCCAATGTTAACTAGACTTATTGTGGTAATCATTTTGCAATATATATGAAATGACATGTTCTGCACCTGAAACTAGTATAGTATTTACATGTCAATTATGTCTCAATTAAAAAAAAACCTCCTGGGGCTGCCAGTTAGCTCAGGTGGTTTGAGCACAGTGCTCATACCCAGCATGGGCCATGAAGCTGCGCCCTCCACAACTAGATTGAAGACAACTACTTGACTTGGAGCTGATGGGACCTGGAAAAAAAACACTGTTCCCCAATAGAATCCTTAAATAAAAAACAAAGAAACAAACAAAAAAACCCACCCCCCAAACCGAATATATATACCAGCAGTGCCAAAAAAACATATACAAATGAACACTTTGGTCAACGTTGCTCAAGCAATAGTTTGCCTTAATCAGAAGTGTTTGGACACTGATGGAACCACTTTGAGCACCTCTTGTAATTGCAGAAGTCAAACGTGACTTGTATTCATCTTTTGTTATTGGTATATATTGAGTATATTGAGTATTACAATTTTAATACAGTTTTCCTCTCTTAAAATATGTATACTTTTTTTGACACCCTCTGTATACATATATTGTATATACCGCATATATCCATATAGTCTAACACAGAAAATTCTCTAGCAACTGGACAACAGGGGAACTAATTTCGATGATAGAAACCAAAAAGTGGTTGCTGTCTCTGGAGTTGGGGGATTGACTGGAAAGGGACAGGAGAGAACTTGTTCTGCGTGGTAGTTAGATGAATATACACAATTAACAAAAATAATCACTGATAATTTTAGAACTATATTTTACTGCTTGTAAATTATACCTCAACTTTTAAAAGACAAAACACAATAAGATAAAACTAAAAATAACAGCAGAATAGGTTAAAAACGTGTATATGATATTCTGAAATTTTTGGTGTTTTTAAGCAGAAACACTATAACTTGTCTATTAATTCAAAGTACCCTTTACACCACAGACAAAATAGCCCTCTGCTCAGCCTTACTTCCTCTTTTCCCCTTGGCAGTTACAGTTAAATCACCAGCTCCCCCATGAAAAATACAGACCATTCTCATGCTGAGTCATAGCTCTTGCCTCTCACCTAATTTGTATACTAGATTTCCAGTAGCTAGATAAAAGGCACTCTAGTTAAAGACAGCAAAATCTCATTTCCTCATTTACTATGTCTCTTACCAAAACACATTTGACCCCAGGAAGCTATCAAAACAATAGAATTTACAAAACAAAAACTAAATTACTTTACCTTTAAGATGTACCATTTATTTAAACAGGAAAAGAAAAAGTAAAAACACTGACATCAGGAATAAGACAAGGATGCCCACTTTTACCACTTCTATTCAACATTGTCCTGGAAATCCTAGTCATTGCAAAGGACAATAAAAACAAAAAGCATCAAGATCAGAAAGGAAAAAGTAAAACAGTACCTATATGCAGATAAGAGTGTTTACATAAACATCCCCAGGGAATCTAAAAATGAATGACTAGAACTAATAAAACAAATTTAGCAGGGTCATAGGTTGCAAAGTTCATATGTAAAAAAATCAATTGTATTCATATAGACTAGCAAAAAATAACTGGAAAATGAAAAATGTTAAAGTCCATTTATAGTAGCTCAAAAAAAAAACATATGAAACACTTAGGAAACGATCTAACAAAAGTCATCTAAGACCTCTATACTGAGAATTTTAAAACTGTGCTGAAATTAACAAATCGAAATCAATAAAGCTCCTATATCATGGATAGAAAATTTCAATTAAGAAATTCTCTCCCAAATTATTTTTATATTCAACACAATACCAATCAAATCCCAGGATGCTTTTGGTAGAAATTGATAATTTGATGCTAAAATTTATATGAAATGTAAAGAACCTAGACTAACCAAACCAATTTTTAAAAAGAAGTTGGAGGACTGATCTCATCTGATTTCAAGGTTTGCTATCACACTACAATAATCAAGATGGTTTGGTATTGGCAGAAGACAAAAAGACATACAGATCAATGGAACAGAAAACAGTGTGCCAAAACTAGACTCATACGTGTATGGGCAGCTGATTTTCAACAAAGCTGGTGAAGCAAATTCTATGGAGAAAATAAAGTCTTTTCAATAAATGTTGCTGAATCAACTAGATATCCATATATAAAAAGAATATCAACCATTAATTTACCCATACACAAAATTTAACTCGAAATAGATCACAGATCTAAATATAAAGCCTAAAACTATAAATTTGTACAAGAAAACGTAGGAGAAAATACTGTTGATCCTTGAATAATACAGGTTTGAACTCCTTGGTCCACTTCTGTGCAAATTTTTTTATAAACACTGTAAATGTATTTTCTCTTCCTTATGATTGTCTTAATATTTTTTTCTCTAGCTTACTTTACTGTAAGAATACAGTATATAACATGTAACATACAAAATATGTGTTGACTATTTATATTATCAGTAAGGCTTCTAGTCAACAGTAGGTTATTAGTAGTTAAGTTCTGGTAGAGTCAAAAATTATACTCAGCTGGGGCTGGCCGAATGGCTCAGTTGGTTAAGAGTTAGTTTAAGAGCACGAGCTCTGAGAAACAGGGCTGCCGGTTTGATTCCCACATGGGTCAGTGAGCTGCACCCGAGCTGAGCTGACACTGAGCTGTCAAGTAGCATGATGGCTCAGCTAGTGAGAGCATGTGCTCCTAACAACAAGACTGCCTGTTCGATGGTAGGCTACACCTGCCCACAACTAAGACTGAACTCGGCACCTTAAGCTCAGCTGCTGCCCAGATGGCTCAGTGGATAGAGCATGCACTCTTAACAACAAGGCTGCTGGTTCAACTCCCGCATTGGATGGTGGCTACGCCCACAACTAAGATTGTAACACAGCACCTTGAGTTAGAGGCCACGAGCTGCCGATGGGCAGTCAGATGGCGACTGGTGCCCTCCACAACTAACAATGAAGAACAACAACTTGGCTGGTCCCCCTCCCCAATTCCCCAACACTGTTTCTCTTCCCCAATTCCCCAATTTAAAAACAAAAAAAAACTTATACTCAAATTTTCAACTGTGCAGGGCGTTGCCGACCCTACCTCCCACATTGTTCAAGGGTCAACTGTATCAGTAACCTGGAAGTAGGCAAAGGTTTCTTACACAGAATACAAATGCACAAAACATAGAAAACAAAAACTATAAATTGAATTTTATTACATTTTTTTTTTGAAAGATGCCACTAGGAAACAAAATAGCAAGCAATCATAGGATAAAAATATTCACAACACATATGTAAGACTGAAGACTTATATCCAGAATAAAGAATTCTTATGGTTCAAAAATAAAATAAATCGGGCCGGCCAAGTGGCACGTTAGTTAGGAGTTGGATTGGGACGCCAGCTCTGAGCAGCAGGGCCTAGGTTCAGATCCCACATGAGGGCCAGTGATGCTACGCCCTCTACAGCTAAGATGGTGAACAACAACCTGACCTGGAGCTGGGCTGCCGTGAGTCGCCGGCAACGGCATAGGCTGCAGTGGGGCTGCCCAGCAGCAGGCGTGAGCTTGCGTGAGCTGCCGTGAGCTGCCATGAGCGGCCGTCCAATGGCCTGGAAGCGACTGCCTCACCCGGGAAGAACGCAATGATAATACTAACATGGGCCAGTGAAGCAACGTCCTCCACAACTAGACTGAAGAACAAAAGGACAGCATCTTGTCTGTTCCCCTTCCCCGATTCACCAATGCTGTTCCCCTCCGCCAATTCCCCAATAAAATCTTTAAAACAAATAAAAAAATAAACCAGTAGAAAATGGGCAAAAGACTTGAACAGATAATTCAGGAAAGAAGATATACAAACAACAAATAAGCACATAAAAAGATATTTAACATCATTATTCATCTGGGAAATGCAAATTAAAACACAATAGGATACACTTCACATCTACTGGGATGATTGGAATCAAAAAGCCAGATTGTAAGAAGTGTGGTGAGGATATGAAAAAATTGGAACCCTCAAATACTGCTGGTGGGAATGTAAAACAGAAAAGTCTTGCAATTCTTCAAATGATTAAGTAGTTACCATATGACACAGCAATTCCACTCCTAGAGATACACCCAAGAGAAATAAAAACATATAGCCACACATGTACATGAATGTTTGCATCAGGTTTATTCATAACAGTCCAAAGGTAGAAACAACCCAAATGTCCATTCAATGGACAAATGGTAAACTAAATGTGGTATAGCCATACAATGGGGTATTACTTGGCCATAAAAAGGAATAAAGTACTGACACAAGTTATAACATGGCTGAACCTTGAAAACATACGCTAAATAAAAGAAGCCGTGGGCCGGCCGAGTGGCGCGATGGTTAAGAAGCCAGAGGGCCCCGGTTTGGATCCCACATATGAGGGCCAGTGACACTGCCCTCCACAGCTAAGATGCTGAACAATAGCTCAACCTGGAGTTGGGCTGCCCGTGAGTCACCCGCGACGGCGTAGGCTGCAGCCTCTGAGGCAGTGGGTTGCCATGGGCTACCGTATGTAGCCAGCAGCCAGCGTGAGCGGCCAGCAGCCGCAGTGAGCGGCCGTCCAGAAGCCGGCGACTGATNCCCTGGAGGAATTTTTCTTTATTCCTGAGACTCATAACTTTAAATCTATTCTGGCCATTTCTCACCATAGTGGAGTATTTATTTCTGATGATTGATTGATTCACAATTTTTATTAGCCCTTTTCAAATTCTAATACGTAGGAAATTATGCTGTCTCAAAGGCCCCTTTATTTCAAAAAATCTGTTTCCATAATACTTGCAAGAGAGGAAAATACTTAACTATGTTACTTTATATATTTTTATTTTACTACTATTATGAAAGGAACGTACTCTTTTCTACAACTTTTCCACTACATTATAATTCAAATTTACTGTCTGTCTCCTCACCAATTGATAAGCTCCCTGAGGACAGTTTCACCTCTGGGCTCAGTATAAAAAAGGCACTCAAGAAAATACATGAGTGAATAATCAAATTTTTTTAAAAAGTCAAAAACAGGCTAGGTTTCATTTTTTAATATGATTTTTAAATTAAATTCATTAATGTGAAAATGAATTGATTGAATTGAATTCTTTACAAGACATCTCACCATTCAATATTTTAATATACGAATGCAAATGATCAAATATATGGTCCTCAAAACAGGAGTATAAACATAATCCTGTCTCCTGAACTTACTAATTTTTCTCCTTACTAAAGGTATCAGATTTTATCCAAAATCATACACATGTATGTGTGTGTACATCTATAATTTGCATATTTTTCTTCAACGCATACAGAATTTTGATTACTGTTTCTTGGAGTGCATTTACTTATGGAATAATTCCCAAACCATATTCTTACTCAACATCAACATTATCCTTTATGTCAGACTGTATATCTNAAAAAAAAAAAAAAGAAGCCAGTCACAAAAGACCACATATCATATGATCCCATTCATATGAAACGTCCAGAACAGGGAAATCTATAGAGACAGAAAGTAGATTAGTGATTGCTGAGGGCTGGGGGTTGAGAGTGGGAGGAGATAAGGGTTGGAGTGTGAAAACTAAAATATAGTCTTTCTTTTTGAAGTGTTGAAAATGTTCTAAAATTGTCTGTGGTGATAGTTGCATGTAATTGTGAATATACTAAAAACCATAAATTATACACTTTACATGAGAGAATTATATGGTATATAAATTGTATCTCAATAAAGCTGTTGAAAAAACACACATACACATGCCCACTAGATTGACTAAAGGCAACAAAACTGGCCATACAAGTGTCAGCAAATATGTAAAGAAACTGGAAATATCATACCCTACTGGAAGGAATGTAAAGCAGTACAACTACTTTAGAAAACAGCTTCAGACTCTTAAAAAGTTAAATGTACACCTACTATAACTAGCTATTCCACTGGAAGGTATTTACCAAACAGAAAAGAAAATGTAAGTCCACACACACACACACACACACAAATAAAACTTGTACATCTTCAAGCCAAGTAAACCAATCTCCCAAAACCCTGAAAATCCATTGTGACTACTAGAATT